TGTTTTGTCAGTTTTTCAGGCGACTGAACGATTACAAGATCGATCACAAGCTGCTGCTCACAGGAACTCCTCTGCAGAACAACCTGGAGGAGCTGTTTCACCTCCTCAACTTTCTCACACCCAACCGCTTCAAGTACTGCTTCACACACACCACACACACACACACATACATCTCTGTCAGCCTGTCAAGTATGGGGATCAAATGTTGTGTCAAACACACCTCTGTGTGCAGTAACCTCGAGGGATTCCTGGAAGAGTTTGCTGACATTTCCAAGGAAGACCAGATCAAGAAGCTCCACGACCTGCTGGGACCTCACATGCTGCGAAGGCTGAAGGCCGATGTCTTCAAGAACATGCCCGCGAAGACGGAGCTGATTGTACGGGTGGAGCTGAGCCCCATGCAGAAGTACGACACCACTAAACACAAAGAGACAAAGTTAAACTACTTTGTCAAGTCATTGATCCTCCACACTGGGTGGATGTGAAAATATCATGAAAGAAATGATTAAAATCAGAGACAGTTAGTGAACAGAAACATTATTTAGTACTTCATTAAACCTTAAAGTGAAAGCAGAGATCTCCCATCATCCTCTGTGATTCTGTTTTCACTGACAGGAAATACTACAAGTTAATACTGACCAAGAACTTTGAGGCTCTCAACTCCAAGGGTGGAGGAAACCAGGTGTCTTTGCTCAACATCATGATGGACCTGAAGAAGTGCTGCAACCACCCATACCTCTTCCCTGTGGCCTCCATGGTACACACACACACACACACACCATTACCCTGATTTTTACTATTACCACTATATGACTAATCTTAACCCTCACACCAGCTCAAACTCCCAACTAAATCCTGAACCTCAGAATACTCTCTCACTCTGTCCTCACAAAGACAAATGTCTCCACAACAACGGTATTTTCCCTAAACATGTCCCCACGAGCAGAACTAGACCAGTCACACACACACACACACACACACACACACATACCTACTATCGTCATCACTGCTGAAGGAACAGACTGAGATTTGGGAGAAAGTTTTTCCACATGTACTAAACTGAACAGTGACACCCTGTGGTTCTTTGAGCATGTGCATCTTTTTACGTGAATAACTAAAAATCTAAGTTATAAAAAACAAGTCCAAACACAGACTAAAACCATTACCTTTATTAATCTTTGATTAAATATTCATGATTATTTTTCCTTACTATTGAAGGTCACACCAGTGACATCACTGTCACTACTGCAGTTACACTATGTACATGTGCTGTATGTACGTATATCAGGATGGTACTTTTTTTTTTAACTCTCTGTCTTCTGTAGGAAGCCCAGAAAACTCCCAGCGGTGCGTACGAGGGCTCGGCCCTCACTAAGGCTTCTGGGAAACTGATGCTGTTGCAGAAGATGCTGAGGAAACTGAAAGAGCAGGGACACAGAGTTCTGGTCTTCTCGCAGGTGCACTCTCTAATGTCGAACATAAACTCTGAAACAATTGGTTAGAATTAGACAATTGCAGCTCCATGTCCAAACTCTTCCCTTTTCATCGTCTGTGCAGATGACCAAGATGCTGGACCTGTTGGAGGACTTCCTGGACTACGAAGGGTATAAATATGAGAGAATCGATGGAGGCATCACTGGAGCGCTGAGACAAGAGGCCATCGACCGATTTAACGGTGAGACGCTGTCACCTCATAAAGTCTGCAAAGAGGTCTGCGGGGGTTGGGCTTTATTATTGTTTCAGTTTCCCAAGTGTTCAGGCTCCTCTTTCTTCAAAAAAAGCTCTGAGCTGCTCAACAGTTATCGGTCACCATTGTCTGCTCCTCCTCTTCATGAAGCTGAAAGTTTTGACTGGTCACATGTCAAACACAACAACTCCCGCCTGGTCCACCTTAACCTACACAGACCAAGTCCTGAACGACTTACTCACCCTCGGTGGACGCTCCATTTATGCTCCATCAAAAATATTGGACCGTGTTGCGATCAGATCCAGGCATAACAGCGTAGAATTGACTGACAAACTTTTGGCAGAAATGTTGTAATTTTGTGACGACTGCTACGTAGAAAGAAGAAAGATTCATGCTCAACAATCAGACAAAGAGATCAGACATTCCAGAACGGTCCAGATGTTTGCTTGCTAAAACTAAATTAGTTTTTAATGCAAAACTCGGTCATATTTTTATCACTAATGAGCTGCTGTCAGTGACAGCCATTAAAATCTACACCTTGATTTATAGCGGACTAGTGAGTGATGCAGTTGTGATTTCAATTTCTTTAATGAGTGTATTTAGTGAACCGGGCTGGCCCCACTCCTGAGCATGATTAAAAAATAACGAGCCATTAAACACACACTTGGAAACGCTCCAAAATGTTTTGATGTCATCAGACTGTAATGGTTTTACTCCAGGGTTCATTCAAGTAAACTTCAGCTCCTGCCTGTAAATACTGATGAAATGGTCAATAAAAGCTACATCACAAGGAGCAAATATTAATATTTGTCCAAGTGATTTCTCATCCTTTCTCATCTTTCTTGTGGTTCCAGCTCCTGGCGCCTGTCAGTTTTGTTTTTTGCTCTCCACCAGAGCAGGAGGTTTGGGTATAAACCTGGCCACAGCAGACACCGTCGTCATCTTTGACTCAGACTGGAACCCTCACAACGACATTCAGGTGCAGCACAGTCAACTTTACTGACTGACAGGCTACGTAGCCTGTGCTAGTAGTTAATAGTTTAAAAGTTGTTTTGCCACATTTCACGGTTTTGGATGGCTTAGTTGTCTCTTGGGTTCATTTAGCAAACCACAGATTTGAGCAGTTATCTGCTCCTTTTTTACTAACTCTAACTCAGTCAATCCAGCCACGCTGTGTTTATGTCATTACATGAACTTCTTTTTACTTTGGCTCACTCAGCTAACTGCCAGGCTAACTTAGTGATTCTGTCTGTAATATATTTATATATATTTCTATATCTGGTCTGTAACTACACTCACTGGCAAATTTGAATGGAGTTTTCTTTAGCTCATAGTTGATGTTTGTTCTTTGACGTCCTCTCCTCAGGCCTTCAGTCGAGCCCACAGAATCGGACAGGCTAACAAGGTGATGATCTACCGTTTTGTGACTCGGGCCAGTGTGGAGGAGCGCATCACCCAGGTGGCCAAGAGAAAGATGATGCTGACCCACCTGGTGGTTCGGCCAGGTCTGGGATCCAAGGCCGGCTCCATGACCAAACAGGAACTGGACGACATCCTGAAGTTTGGCACCGAGGAGCTGTTTAAGGACGAGGGAGAAGGTGAAGTCAGAGAACTGTGGACTTTGTCAAATACAATTAAGGTTTCTGCTCAATTGTAATAATGCTGGGATTTGAGTCGGAGCCGGTCTGGGACTGGGTTGGCAGGCGTTTTCTCCTAAAGGAAATAATTTTGTCACAACACAGTTGTTTTAGTTTTACTGCAGATATAATTAGAGGTTTTATTTCTGACAGGAATGAAAAACAGCACAGGGGATAAAGTGGAGGACGAGGGCAGCGTGATTCACTACGACAGCACCGCCATCGAGAGGCTGCTGGACCGCAGCCAGGATGCAACGGACGACTCAGACGTCCAGAACATGAACGAGTACTTGAGCTCCTTCAAGGTGGCTCAGTACATGGTCCGAGAGGAGGACAAGGTGAGAGGGAGACGTTTCCTTAGACGTTAACTTCTTAAAAATCTTTTGGCTGGCTTTCTAACTTTAACTTTGTTGTTGTTGGATAACTTTTACATACATACATTAAAAAAAAAACTTAATGTAAAATCAAGCTGATAATTACCTAAACAATTACAAAAAAGTTTACCATAAACATTGGCCACATTGATATTAGATAAGATCAGATAAGAAGTCAGTTCCTTCAATTAGTTTCATTAATTAAAACAAGCCAAAGTCAGCTTGAGAATATTATCACTAAAATGTGATGATATTTCAAATTCCCTGTAAAGTGCTGGAATTTGTCCAGAAGGGAAACAGTGCAGGTGATTCACGTAAAACAAGAATCAAACCATCCATCTGCAGGTGAAGTTATATCACAAACATAGGACTATACCATCACCCCACCTGTAGATGGAGCTTGTTTTTCCACTCTTGGCTGCACTCTTAACATCCAACATTCACCGTCTCCTGGGATTTGACTTTTTCTTCTGGCCTAAACAAATATATTTAACCATCTGACTGCTCGGCTCTGCTGTCACAGAGGAGCTGATGTGTTTGAGGAGAGAAATGATTTATGGGTTAATCAAGGGAATAATTACCCACCTCTACAAAAATGAAAATAATCATTAGCTGCATTAAAAATATTTTAAGAAAAAAGCTGAGTAATTGCTGCTGTTGTAAGAGGAATGGAGCGGAGTGTTAGACAGATCTGTTACAGAAACACAGGCTGCCAGAAACCTCCACAGTTGTTATCAATTCTTTTTCTTTCACTTCCAGACAACATGTTCTTGTGCGTCAATAACTCCATCACCAAACGTCGGCTTGTGTAATCCTAATCTTTTTTTCATTACCTTTGGGAAAGTCTAATTTCTACAGAATTTCTTTTTTTTTTTTTCATTTTGTCAGATTTAAAGTGAATTGTTTTTGCTAACATTTAACTAATTATGTATGTATTTTTCTGACTAGCTTTTTAACTGGAGTTCTACTACTGAGTGTACCTGATCTGAATGTTTTCCTCCTGCAGATCGAGGAGATTGAACGTGAGATCATCAAACAGGAGGAGAATGTGGATCCGGATTACTGGGAGAAACTGTTGCGACATCACTACGAGCAGCAGCAGGAGGACCTGGCCAGCAAACTGGGGAAAGGCAAGAGGAACCGCAAACCAGTCAACTACAACGACGCAGCCCAGGAAGACCAAGGTGAGGGAAATAGGTGTTTTGGCCGCACACACACTTCTATAACCTCTTCTCTCCTCCTGACACGCCGTTTTGTGTTGTTTCAGAGTGGCACGCTGACATCTCTGACAACCAGTCTGAATATTCTGTGGGCTCCGAGGAGGAGGACGACGACTTTGACGATCGACCTGAAGGTGAGGAGTGGGTTGAAGAGTTTCACTGTTGTCTTTACCTTCTCTGAAAAAGGCTTGAAAATCTAACACCTTTTTAACCATAGGTGACCATAGGTGTACATTTTGGTGTGAATGGCTGATTGTTTGCCTGTGGCCCTGCGGTGATGTCCAGGGTGTAACCACGCCATCACCTGTTGACAGCTGGGAAGAACACTGAAGATTGATTAAGAAACACAGAGACAGTAAATACACAACAGGGAAAATTAAAATGTAGCTAAACTCGCTGACACTGAGCCAAAAAAGGAGGAAAATGTGTCAAAAGATAAGAACGTTTCAACAAATGTGACTACAAGTGTGTAGCTTGAGAGAGAGATACTGGTTGTAACACACACACACACACACAGAGAGTCAGAGAGTATCTGCTCTGTGTTAAATTATTGTTTGAAATTGATTTAGTTGTTAGACTCTGCTGCCAAAGTCAAACTGGTGTCATTGCCAAAAATGCAGACCACCATCCACCTCCTGCTCCAGACGGTTGGAGCACAAACTCTCCAATTTTTTTTTTTTTTTTTGTACAGTTCACATCGTTCCTCATCTATTTACTTAACATTTTAGATCTCATGTCACACTCCAAAACCTTCGCTGTCCTCCTGCAGGTCGACGGCAGTCGCGACGACAGCTGAGGAATGACAAGGACAAACCTCTGCCTCCTCTTCTGGCCAGAGTGGGAGGAAACCTGGAGGTCTGTCTAGTCTGATTCAACCTTATTCAGTGAGCGCTGCTGGATGTTTGTCTGAACATCTCACAGGCTTTGACTGGAGATGGCAGCAGCTCAGCAGCATCCAGGCTCATTTATCATCACACTGATAGTGGTGGACGTGATGTTAATGATCCACAAATGTTGGTTTTACTGCAGTGACACAGAAGAGAAAAAGAGATGGAAAAAGACAGAAGTGTTTGCTTGGCTTTTAGTTCCACCTCCACTCACTGACTCTCTAGCTACCTTTAACTTCACTCAAAGCTAATCTTTGCTAGCTCTTTTTGTCTGTTGACTAACAGTTAACCTGAGCTAGCCTTAGCTGTTTTTGTTTTTACATAAGTTGAGGCACTTTGATAATTTGTTATCCTTAGACAAATGTATAGATTTTTTTTGTTTGGCTAACTTTTAGCTGCAATGGTTAACATTTAAATACTTTTTGTATTTGGTAATTAAAAAAGTAGTTTAAAAATATTTCAACATGTTGTTTTGTTCTAGTTATCCTCAGACAACTTTGTTTGGGTTACAGTTCACAGAGTTAGCATTTTTGTTGAATATTAACTGTTGTCTTTCCATGAACATATACCAACGTTAAGCCAAATTTGTTTGACTAAGAACTATTCTTCTAAAAATTTGGCCACTTCTCTAAAAGTAAAATTAATGTTAATTCAACTAAGTTATTGGTAGTAAGTAGTAGTGTTTTTGGCTAACTTTAGTTGTTTTACAAGGGTTCTTAGGGGTAGACATTTTCAGTGAAGGTATGCTTGAATCTGATTTGGAAAATGTGTGTGAACCTTGTGATGTCCGTCGGCAGGTGCTGGGCTTCAACACACGACAGCGAAAGGCTTTCCTGAACGCAGTGATGCGCTGGGGGATGCCATCTCAGGACGCTTTCTCCTCACACTGGCTGGTGCGAGACCTGAGGATAAAGACAGAGAGAGAGTTCAAGTGAGTCTGAGGGAAGACTTTAAACCCTTTCATAATCATGAATACAGTTCATACAGTAGCTGTGCTTCTCCTCTGCCACAGAGCCTACGTCTCTCTCTTCATGCGACACCTGTGTGAGCCGGTGGCTGACGGGGCTGAGACTTTTGCCGACGGCGTCCCGAGGGAGGGCTTGTGTCGACAACCGGTCCTCACCAGAATCGGAGTCATGTCCCTTGTCAAAAAAAAGGTGGGGTTGATGCTCTGTCTGTTATTCAATGACATCAACGTTTTTTCATAACTGATTCACTTTTTTTTTTTCATTTCTTTCTACAAATTTGTGTTTTTCTTCAATGTTTGCCTATTTATTTATTATTATTTTCTGGGCTTAACTTCTTTACAGTATTTTTTGTATATATACGTTTTTTTTAACTAGTTTAAACATTTTCCATTAATTTTTGGCGAACTTTTTATGATTTCTCTAATGTAAATTTTTTGTTGCCATTTATAAAAAATGTTTCCTGAACTTTTTTCTCGTTTTGGAAACTAAACTTAACTTAGCCAAAGGTTTTAATTCCTATCTAACCTTTATCCAAAAATGTTCAGTTCTCAGTTGACTTCTTTTATTCTTGTTTAATTCTGCCATATAATTAGATGTCTTAGCTAATGTTTTATCCTTTTTTTTTCAACTCACTTTTGTGGTCTTTTGGTATATTTTCATGTACAATTTTTTTCCTGCATTGTTTTGGCTGCGTTTCTGCTTTTCTTACTACGGCTTCACAGAAAAAGCTGTTGTGTTGGTCTGCTTTGACTTTAGCTAATGTGAAGCAGCAGCTGTTTGCTTTGAATTAGCTGTAACTTAATACAGCTCTGATTCTGTTCGAGCAGAGCAAACAATTAGCCAGAGAAAAGTCAGTCCAGCTGTAAATAATAGATAGAAATAAATCGGCTCCGACTTGTACAAGTTCACAGCGACTCTGAGTGAGTGTGACCGGAGGACGGGACTGCAGTGGTTCTGAAAGTCATCCCTGGGTCAAACATAGCGTATCGCCTAAAGATATCCTTTCACTTTACTTCAGCTCATCCAAACATCTTTAATTGAATTTTCAGCCCAGATCGTTGAAACTGGCCAACATCCTGATCTGCTATCAGGGCCACAGGGACGATGATAGACGCTCAGATAAACAGGGCGTGTGTGTGTGCGTGTGTGTGGTTCTTTTGGGGGGTGGTGTCTGATATCAGGTAGAGTCGGTGTTTGTTTCTGTTGCCAAAAACGTTTGCATCTCTGGAGTTTTCCAGAGTCAGTCCTGCTGTCGTGCCGGGCCTCCTCCTCTGTGCCTCCTGCAACCTTGGCTAACTTTAAGCATTTTTTGGAAATATTTTGTATCTTTTTTTTTTTCTATTGTAGAGACCATTTCTTGTTGTTTGCAAACATTTCTTTACACTTACTGATTCACTTACTATTTGGAAATATTTTGTATCTTCACTTTTTTTGTCTGGCTTTGTTATTCTTGGTTTTTCTTTTGGCTTGAATTTTCACCTGACCTGATGTTTTATACGTTTGCCTTTATTTCTTATGTTTTGTCTTCTTTTTGACTTTTGTCTCTCCCTCTTTTTTTCTTTTTCTGTTTTTTGTTCTTTTTGGCCTAAAATACATTTGATCTTGTGAACAGTATTTTGACAGACTGTTATCGTTGTTTGACTTTTTGTCAAACCTCAAAACTAATCTTTCCCTGACTTTTATTGCATTTTGAATGACATGTGCCATTTTTCTGTTTTTCTGCCTGTGTTCTGAGTTAAAGTCTGGTGATATTCACGTTTACGCCATACTTTTGATCCAGATTCAGGAGTTTGAACACATCAACGGACGCTGGAGTCTCCCAGAGCTCAAACCTGAAGTCATTGTGGACAAGTCGTCCTCCAGAGCCTCCTCTCCTACAGTAAAGACCACAACAACCACGCCTGACGCCAGCTATAACAACACACCCTGCACTTCCAAACCAGGTAAAGAGACAATATCCCAAAGGCCAGTTTATCATGTCCAGCACTCACCACTTAAACCACTCCTACTGGACAACAGCTGTCACCAATAAACCAAAAATACCAAAAATATAATTGATAAAATGTGAGCTCTTTTAAAAATAAACTACTAAATAAATGCTATTTTCTGAAGAATATGTAGAACTAAAATATCCAAGGATGAGCTGAACTTATACAGTTCCTACAGGCTGGTTTCAGATGATCAAAAAACTCACAAATGACCACAAACCAAATGACTAAGGTTTATCTAAGAGTTGAGATTGACCAAAGCTACAACAAAAGCACATATGCAGGGTAAAAAAATGTTTTTGAAAAAAAAAAAAACGAGGGTCATTCCATGAACATCTATTCTTGTTATGATAGGAGAACAAGAAAAGCTAAATGTAGAAAATGAGATCATGGGAACACAGTTGATTGGCTGATAAGATATTTGTACTGTGATAAAGCTACACTGTGGTACCTAATGAAATGGCCAGTGAGTGCATTTACCATAACCAGTAGGGGGTGCTGCATGTAAGGTCGACTAGAACCTTCATTGCTATGATTTCCTGTGAACCTGTGCAGCTACGCCTGCTCCTGCAGACTCCAAGCAGGAAAAGAATGGAAAAGAATTGGAAAAGGGAGAAGGAGAGAAGGAGAAGCATGAGAACAAGAAGACTGGAGACCCTGAGGAGGTGAGACACTGTCTGTAAAGCATATGTTTGTAAATAAGTGTGGACATGTGTGCTAACTCACTGTTAGTCACAGAGCTAAAACTTTAGCCTTTAGATAAGTCTTTTCCCAAATGGAGCTTAAAGTTACCAGGGATAAGGGATAACAAACGTTAGCCACCAAAGAACTATCATTGGCAGTAAAACTAAGCATTTAAAAATATGGAATATGATATATAAGATGACTAGAAAATAAAACAAACTTTCAAAGACTTCCTGTTTGGCACATGAGAGGATGGCAGCATAGGAAAACACACTCCTGACATTAAAATTCAAAATAGCCCACAGTGAGTTTCCAATAGCTAAAGCTAAAAGGAAAAATAAGGTCAGGGCTTTAAGATGCCAAGAGGTCAAATCCAAAAGAAATCTCCACAGAGTGAGCAACACCAGGGAGATGAAGACAATCAAACCTCACCTGCTAACTGTGCCCTCGACATGCCACAGACGAGGGGGAACAAGCGGGCAGCGCCAGCCTGGACCTTATACTCAGAGAATGAGGGGAATTTAGAAAAGCTAATGATGCACAGCAATTTTTAAGCAATACAACCAAAACTGGACACTTCAAATGGGAAAGCACGGAATACGACGTCATTAGTTAATTACATGAATATGTTATTTGAGGAAGTCTGATAGACAGATAAAGAGAGAATAACACCCTGATCTTATTACATAAGAACAAAGGAAAAGAGATCCACCTCTACTTGGAAATGAATGACAGAGGAGATGTTTCATCACCTCTACTTGGAAACGAATGACAGAGATGTTTCACCTCTCATGTTATGTCCTTAAGGATGTTCTGAGGGGGAAATGATCTCCTCATATAAAAAAAGATGAGAAACAAGAAATTGGGAGAATTTTAAAGAATTGGAGAATAAACATAAAAACAAACAACACACGGCTTATTAGAGGAAATCACGAAAATGAGAAATGAAATTGATATCTTTAACACAAATGAAATTAAGAAGAGCGTTTCTTAAACAAATGTTTTTTGAGGACAGATATAGATCTATGAAAGTTCTGGAAGAAAACAATTCATAAAATTAAAGATCCAGTGACGAAAACTAAGCAAATTGCTGGGAGGCTTTGAAAGAATAAGAATATTTAGTTTAAAGAGACAGTGTGTGGTACAGCTGAGAGAGATATGTTTTTGGATTCTCTGGAATTACCAGTATCGAACAAACAGAATAAAATAATGATAGAGGACATAACAGAAAAAGAACTAAAAATAACAAAGAGACAACTCAAATTAAACAAATCACTAGGATCAAATGGTTACAGCAGAATGGTAGGAGTTAACGTCAGTGATGCTTCCTACATCCAACTGGGTTTTAAAGAAGGCACAGACACCAGCCGGGAAGGAAGCAGTAATCATACAGACCAATATCAGTCCAAACACAAGATAATGTACATCCAATATATCATCAGCCACATCCAAAAGAATAAAATACCAGCCGTGGTTATTAGTAATGACGCAGGAAAGGCCTTCGACTCGGTGAACTGGAGTTTTCTTTAAGGAGTTTTACATAGATTAACACGAAACAGTAATTGAAACAGCACAGGCACTGTATAAAAAACCCTCGGCTAGAATTAAAGTAAACGGCTGCTTATCAAATAGTTTCACTTTGGAAAGAGGCACAAGGCGAGGCTCTGCGTGTTCCCCACTATTATTTGCATTATATCCAGAGACGTTTAATCGAGATGTAAGACAAAACTAAAAACATAATGTCTGTACTGTACTGTTCTTTACTAAACTACACTATTCTATAGTATGTACGGATCAATGATTGAAACACAGGTGCATATGTTATCCACAAAGGGGTTCAGCACAAAAACAGCTAACGTGAGCGATCCTGTCAAAGAAACATCTTATAGTTGGACTGACCCTCGGTCACATGATCACCAACCGTTGCTTCTCCTCGCAGATTTCTTCATCGGCCAAGGAAAAGCCACACGGCGTGTCCCCTGTCCAAAACGAAGAAGGCAGAGAGGAGACGGAGAAGGAGAGAGCTGAGACAGCCGCTGCTCCTACTGCTGCAGAGGAGAAGGAGAATCGGCAGGAGGAGCCGAGAGAGGAGGCCAAACACAAACCAAAACAGGATGCAGAGAGTAAAGAGGAGAAATCAGGTAAAGTTCAACCTTTGTTGTGTGTGAGAGTGGAGCTCGAAGGTGAAGCTGCTCCTGCTAACATCCGTCACCTCCTGCAGAAGGAGATAAGCTGGTGGAGGAGAAAAAGGGGGACAAAGAAAAGCAGGAGGAGGCGTCTACGGAGGTGGAGGTGAAGAAAGGTGTGTGGACGTCTGTGATGGTAACACTCTGCACATAAACTGAAGGTTGAAGCTTGGCTGATGGTTGTTTTTACTGTGTAGCCGAGGAGGTGAAAGGAGAGAAGGATGCTGGGAAAGAAGCTAAGGCAGCTAGGGAGGAGGTGCCGCCGCCGCCGCCTCCACCTAAGGGTAACGTCGTGAAACCACACAGCGACAGGCCACGCTTCATGTTCAACATCGCTGACGGAGGATTCACAGGTGTGTACTGGCTTTACACGTGTTTTATACTGAAACAGGACATGAGTTTAGGTCTAAGGGAAGAGTGGAGACCAGGAAGCAGATGAGAACCCAAAGAACACTGTCCTCACAGTGAAAGTAGTTAATTCTCATGTCACGGCAAAGGCAAAAGAGATGAGTCACCGCAGCTGCCGAAAGGTTTGATCTTTGATCTGAATATTTTCTTGAAATTCCAAAGTTTTTTTTTTTTTAGATATGGCCTTGAAATTCATAGTAGTCCAGCTCTTTTGTGAATTCTTGTGACTCTTTTGAGAAGTGAGACTTCTCTCATGATGCTGATTTTTCTCATATTCTGAGTTTGTATTTTCTTCCTTCAGCATTCCGATTAAAAATCAAACTAGACCTTTTTCGACTTATTGGGGCTTTTTCCAAATACCTTTTTTCTTTTTTTCTGACTCAGACATTTGACTGTTTCCTCAGACCTTTTTTCTGAAAGGTAATAAAAATGCCTCCCTCTCAGAGCTGTCACTACAAAGTGATCATCACAAATGCTGTAAAAATCCCCTTTTGTGCTGTATAAAAAAAACACACCTGCAGGCAGGCTCCTGCTGATTCGGCACTTAGATTTTCAGAATCTAACCTCTGACTTTGACTTGGCTTCACCCCTGCAGAGCTGCACACTCTCTGGCAGAACGAGGAGCGTGCTGCCATCTCCTCGGGGAAGATGAACGAGATCTGGCACCGCCGACACGACTTCTGGCTGCTTGCGGGAATTGTGATGTATCCTTGATGAGCAGGTGCCCGGGCTGTGACCTTGCGCTGTTTATTTTTCTATCAGCCTGGGCAGAAGCTGGGTTTTTAAAAAAAAAAATCTAAAAATGAGTGAAGTGTGTCTGCCGGAACAGCATCCACTGAGGCATTAAGTTTGCTCTGTTATGTTTGCTCTCCATTATGGTCAATTAAGGCCACGCTGCATTTAGGGAGCAGAAAAAGAAAACAAAGGAAAACTGTGTTGGGCAATTTCAGAGCTGAGAAGAAGATCAGGGCCACATGGAAACATGTGTGTTTACAGCTGGAACTTTTCCTGAGTTCTCCAGAATTTTCTCATTAAATACTGTTATTCTGACCTGTTCATCAGAAGTTTAACTCACAGCTTTGAGCGCTTTTCACCCGACTTGACTGTCATACAACATATTGAATTTTTTCCTCAAAAACCCTGATAATTAGCAGTGATGGACATTTCTGACCACTTTGTGTATTTTTGACCTCTTTTATTTTTAGACAGTCCAGTTTGAGTCAAATACAACAGCTTTTTTTATCATTTTATCTTAATCTCCTAACTGACCCTTAACCCCCAGCGTCAGCCATGGTTATGCCCGGTGGCAGGACATTCAGAACGACCCTCAGTTCGCCATCGTCAACGAGCCTTTCAAGTCCCAGGCCAACAAAGGCAACTTCCTGGAGATGAAGAACAAGTTCCTGGCTCGGAGGTTCAAGGTGGGAACCAGTGGATTCTTTAACAACGACCACACCATGTTTAATTTGAGCTCGGCCATTCAGGAGGAAGTCTTTTCCTCCGCCTTGGATCACCTGACCTGTTTGATGGTCGGGTGACAGCTGGCTCTACACCCACATGTTTGGGCTTGTTGTTCTGCTGACCACTGCACTTCTGGACGATCTCTCATCCTGTTTTTGAGCTGCTCACATGTTTCAGATCCTGCTTTACAAAGCCTTCTTCTTTGTCTTTTGGTAAAGTTGCTGAACTTGGTGCCATTGTGTTTCCATTGAGTCGAACGTTAAGATTCCAATGTTAATTTTTTTGTGATATTTAAATTTGGTTTAATTTGCGCTTGTTTTTCCTTAAAAATGATTTTGCCTAAATCGAGAACCTTTGTCACCGAGTCAGTAGTTAAATCTATGAAGTGAGGTCAGCTGTGGAGAAGAGGGAGGGCAGGAGGAGGAGCCATGATGCAGGATGCTGAGGTCAAGGTGCAAAAAGTGAGCGAAGAGCTGTGAATGTTACAAGGACACAAGTGTAGAACAAGCACTGGGAAAGGAAAGTGCAAGGAGGGGAATAAAGACAAAGCACAAAGAATGACATAAAGGTCATAAAAGACAGAACTGAAAGGGCAGAAAGACAAGATGGGACAAAAACATCAAAATCACTTAGATGCTCAAAAGACGAAAGCAAAAATGAAATGAGGTGGAAAAAAGAAATGGGACAAAACGAAAGAAAAATATCAAAACTTGAAAAGGAATATTGATTTAGACAAAAAAAAGCCACAAAACATCAAAAAGAAACAATTGTTGAAAGGACAAAAAAATTACTAAAATGTAAAGGGCAAAATGATTAAAGACAGCGTAGAGGCAAAAGACAAGAGAAGATGCAGATAGAAGGTTGAAGCTGCGACTCGACAAAAATCAAAAGAAATGAAATAAAAAGTTAGCTGGATTTTGAAACTAAAATGTAATTTAGTAAATTAATCCATATTTTCTCACAAGTTACTACTACTGTCAAATGTTTACACAAAAATCACACTAGTAGCACTTAGCGCATGTTATCTTTTGACTGTTGACCAGTGGCCTGTTATAAAAGGAGCGCCCTCTGGTGGTTCTGTTCATTTTCCTGGTGTAGCGTGTACCAGTCATTCTGGACCTGCTGTTTGTCTAATGTGTTGGTTCCTCCTGTGATCTCCTGTGTCTGCTGCAGCTCTTGGAGCAGGCTCTGGTCATCGAGGAGCAGCTACGACGGGCTGCGTACCTGAACATGACCCAGGACCCCAGCCACCCTGCTATGGCCCTCAATGCCCGCTTCGCAGAGGTGGAGTGTCTGGCTGAGTCACACCAGCACCTGAGCAAGGAGTCACTGGCGGGCAACAAGCCGGCAAACGCTGTCCTCCACAAAGGTCAGAGAAGTTGCTGCAACGCCTCTGTGCTTGTGAAGAGCTCCTTTGTTCGGCAGGAGGTGAACAAAGAGGCTTCAGAGAGCAGGTAGAGGGGGAGTTGGAGGAGGGAAAAGATCGTACAATCGCAAACAATCTCATCACCCACCTAGCTCGCTCACGCCCTTGTGCAATCCCGCGTTTCCTGCAGCCGGCAACCATAACGCTGTGCCCCGGAGCGCTGCTCAGTCAAAGGCAGGGGAGATAAGCTTACAGCATGTTAGGTGATAGCTGCAAACATTTCCTCAACTACTGCCTGGCAAGTCTGTCCATGTTTGAATTGTTCTGTGGAGTGGGGGAAATCCTGCTCTGCTGTTCTCGGCCTCGTCTCTTGTTTCTGCACAAAATCTCAGCAGTAGCTGCTCAGAGAGGGAAGTCTGAAGGAGCAGGAACAGAATAAACAAAGACCTGAAGACCTGAGGAGCCAACATCTGACCTCATAATCATCACAGGGCAGGAAAGGACCTTTCAAACCTTTTTGAAGTGACACAGTCAAGTTGACCCTTTAAACCCTTAGCTTTGTTCACAGTCGTTCTACACTCGCCGTTGTTCATCATTTAGAGTCAAACAAACCATTTCTATAAATCTAACTTTTTTTGGATTACATTTATAGCTGTTGTTTTTACTAGGTATTTGTTTCTCTTGCAGCTCGTGCCTGGTCTAACATTTAGCAGGTTTATTGTATATTTATTTTTGTTACTTTTGTTTATTTGTAACTGTTATTATTAATTTAAATGCACATGCTCTAAACCACTGGTTCTCCAGCTTTTTCTACTCTGTCCCACCTGAGAAAACACTGATCTCTCTGAGTCCCACCATGATGACCAACATTAGAATATACTGTAGCAGCAGAGGCCTTCACTGTTAGCTTCCACCACAGGAGAGAGGTTTACAAAGATGTTTAGGTTTAAATGTTGTATTAGTTGTGTATGTTTCAGATTTATTGAGTTGAAAATGTAAATGTGAAAATGTGAATTGTCGCTGCGTACCACTAGAGAAATCTTGCGTACCACCAGTGGTACCACAGTTTGAGAACCACTTCTCTAAAGTGTTGATGTTTTGTTTGCTAGTTGAACAGTTGCACATCCCATTTTCATCGTTGCAGTGTTGAACCAGTTGGAGGAGCTGCTGAGCGACATGAAGGCCGACGTGACACGGCTACCGGCCACACTCTCCCGAGTCCCACCCATTGCCGCCCGTCTGCAGATGTCAGAGCGGAGCATCCTGAGTCGATTGGCCAGCAAGGGCACGGAGACACACACACCCTCGGTCAGTGTGGACACACACCTGAACAAAACACCATTCGGCACAATAACCCCCCACCCCCACCCCCCACACACCTGAAACCTGATCTCGGAGCTGCTTCCCTGAGTGTATGAAATAACGAGTGGAGAACAGCCAATGAAAACACAGAGCTCATCATCTTGTCACATGACTCACGTTCTCTTATTATCTCTGACATTCCTGTCCTAATTATAAAGCACAAATAAAATAAATTAAAAAGTGTTTTCCCCTTTTTACAGCCCATTCCTCCAGGACCTTACGCCACCCCCCAGAACTACGGCGCCCCCTTCACTCCCGCCCCGCCTAGCTCCCTGCATATGGGAGGATCCAACTACAGCCAGATGCCTCCAGGTTCCTTCATATCAGGTCAGTGTCTGGAGCCCCTTCATCACTGCGTCCTCCTAAAGGTCAGAAGGTCAGATTTCAGAACACACAACTGTCCCACAGAGGTCAGGAGAAGAACACACTATTTTAGCACCAGTTAGCATTTTTTTGTTCACAGTCATTTGGGCTTTTGATCAGTTCCTTTTTACCATTAAATTATTAGTTATTTTAGGATAAACTTTACCTCCTACTGCCATGTTTCACTTTGTCACATTTTATGTATGTCATGCCTTTGTTGTTTTTGTGTGTCAACAACCTTGAACTTATTAGCTGTTTTGCTAATATTTTTAGCAATTATGTTATTTTGACATGAAATGTATCTGCTTCTGATATTTTTCTAACATTTAGCACATGTTTTTCTAGCTTCTCATCTATCCTTGGTGGCGAGCAGTGAAATAATATGCTCACCTGATGCTAAAATATCAGACCTAACTGGCCAGAATGTTTGTCCTCACTGTGAAATCATTTTTGGAACAATGATTCTCTGAATCTCTGAGAAACCTATGCCCTAAGAAAATCTATATGTGAGATAGGGTGTGAGAAAAGCATTACACACAGCTATAATCAAGCTCATAAACTCTTATGGTGCTGATAATGACAGTATACTGGGTAATTTACAGAAGAGATACACTTTGTTTGATGATCTGACACTTGGCAGGCTCGAGCTCCGAGTCTGATTTATTCCCCCTGTGTGCAGGTATTATTGCCATGTGAGTGATGCTGCCTGTGGCAGAGGAAGTGATTTATGGCTGAGCAGCAGAGCTGAACCTGTTGATTATTGTAGCAGCAAAAGAAAAGGCTTTAGATTTAGTGCAGGACAAATCCCAGTTGTGCTTCAGCTTTGAACGCAGACATGTAGCCTCTTTATTGGAGGCTAATGGAGTGTGATGATAAGACTAAGGCTGTAAAAAGGTTTGACACCTGCAGCATTGAACACACGTGTATGAAGAGTTAAGGAGGAGGAGGAGGAGGAGGAGGAGGTCGTAGGAACTGCACCTAAAGTTTTATAGACACACTGTTATAAACTGAAGCTGAAGACATCAACTCCGCACCAGGTCAACACCGAGTCACAAACATCAGTCCATCAAAGGCTGAGACACAAATGGAACTGAAAGAACAGAACCGTTTAATGGTTCTAGTTAGTCACCCAAGTCACTGTGAAGGAACATCAACCAGTGGAACTGTTTAAAAAGAACATTAATCAGAGGAACGGTATAAAAGGAACATCAATCAAGGAACTGCATAAAAGGACATGAATGAACTGCATAAAAGGAACACCAATCAAAGGATGGTATAAATGGAACATCAATCAAAGGACGGCATAAAAGGTACATCAATCAAAGGATGGTATAAAAGGTACATCAATCATAGGACGGTATAAAAGGTACATCAATCAAAGGACGGTATAAAAGGTACATCAATCAAAGGACGGTATAATCAATATAAAAGGTACATCAATCAAAGGACGGTATAAAAGGTACATCAATCAAAGGACGGTATAAAAGGTACATCAATCAAAGGACGGTATAAAAGGTACATCAATCAAAGGACGGTATAAAAGGTACATTAATCAAAGGACGCTATAAAAGGAAAATCAACACTACACTGATGTGGCAATTTGGGGAATGTCTGCCAAGTTCTCAGCACCATGGATGTCTGTTGATGGTTGCTAAAGTTCCAGGGGTTCCTAAGATTCTCAGTTTGGCCTTTTGTTTTGGTTGTTACTTTTGATGATTATGTTGTCTTCAAGGACATGATCCTCTTTGACCTGTGAAAGGTTCTGAGAGTGGAATTCTATAGTTCTGGTGGTTGCCGAGGAGTTTTAGGAGGTTCCTAAATTGGTTGAAGAACTCTGAAGTGAAGAGAGTTTTCTTTATATGCTTAAACTTCAAGGAATCTCCAAAATGTTTAGAGGTTCTGTTACTTCAGTCAGTCACAGGTAGGATCTCAGGGTCTGGAGTGATTCCTGGTGGTCTCTAAGAGGATTGTAGGTTGTGGTTGTCCCAGAGCTTCTCTCCAGCAGAGCTGGACTGGACTATAGTATTATCATGGTTTCTTCTCTCTTCTCTGCTAGAGTCAGCCTGTCTTCTATACTGCTCTCATACCGAGGACTTCTTCTCCTCCACACCTTCTCAAACATCTACTTCTTTATGTGAGAAAAGCTCAGCTGCTCCTGCTGACTGGTTTGGTCTGCGGCTTTGGTCCAGTGCAGTGTTGGAGACGCTGCAGTGGAGGCTCCACGACACTCTGACAGACCAGCACAAATCTGATTTCATGACCTGGCAGCTTTCACTGGTGATGGGCAAAAAAAAACCCAGTTTAAATATTTATTTTATTTAAAGATACTATCTGAGGAATCCCATCTTTATATGGTTATGTTGTTGTGGAAAAACATTTAGCTAAGAAAATGGGGAAAAAAAGAAAAGGCCTGACTGTGGGAACGGGTTATTTCAGGAAAATGTCCATGCCCTGCAGTTAGTGATGTGATGGAGTCATTGAAGTATTGGATTTCAAACTAATCTTTAAATATGTGCAGTCAGAAGAAGAGGCTGATTGTCTGTGAAGAACCCACACTTTATCTCCTCCAGCAGCCCTGGATGTAAAGACACTACTGAGAAAAGAGAGTCAATATTAGGTAAAAAAATACATCTGTAGCAATGGTTTCTGATGTGGCTGCCAGAGAAACACCTGAAATAGACATTAGCAGCAGAGTCAAACAGCCTGCTGCTGCTGCTGCTGCTGCTGCTGCTGCTGCTGCTGGTGCTGCTGCTATATTAAGGCATTTTCATCTCTCAACTTGTCCTAACCTCAAAAACCTCGCTGCTTTGCTGCGATTGTGCAACAGTAAAAGCCCAGTCTGCTATCAGAGCTGCCTGAGGAGCATCTGTTTCAGACTCTTGGATATTTTCTCGCTCATTACTTCGCCCCTTAAAAGCTCAGCAATCAAAACCATAAAACCGAAAAAAAAAAGTAAAAACAGAGATGTAGTTTGTTTTTGGCCTCCTCTGCCTGCAGTCTGTCAGTGCACACAGTCTCTCAGTGAATTTATTCTCTTCTAATGAGTTTGCTAACAACATGTGCTGGACAGACACACACACTCTCTTGCTCTGTCTCTCTGTCTCTCTCTCTCACTCTCTTTCTCTCACTCTCTCTCTGCTCTGCATGTGTAATCGTGTTGGGAGATGTTGAGATAGTTGAGATGTGGCACAGATAACAGGCACAACCTGATATTCCCCAATAGCTTTGCCCCAGAAAAAAAACCCAACATCAGCCGCCACTGCCTCTGTGCGCCCGAGTATCTTGATTTATGTAATTGTAGACTGAGACATCTGTCAAAGGCATTGCATTTTAGAGAGAGCCAGAGCCTATCTTCTGAAAATGTCATTATGCTCAGACTCCTGTCTGAGTCTGGACTGTGCCAAGAAAACATTCGGACTTTGTACCAAGGTATTTTGAGAGGGACGCAAACCACAGAAGGAGCAGAGCTGTGTAAATGTTGTGCTGCCGCTCGTGAACCGGCAGAAGGCTGAACCCAGCGCCGGCTTTTCAGAAATAGTCACGCGCTGCTACTGCTGCAGCTGCATTTTTTTTTTTTTTTGCACCAAACTTATCCACATGGACTGTGAACATCGTGAACTGCCGGCAGGGCAGAGGCGAGCAGCAGTTGTGGTCTTGATTGGGGTTGAGGCGCTCAGTGACCTCTTTTTGGAATCAGCCAAAGAGAGGAAGGGGAAAAGTGAGCAGGAGAAAAAACAACACCATCCTCTGACCCCCGCCCACTCCCCCACCCCTTGACAAACTCTCACCCACACCGACTCCTCCTGAGCCTTCATCCGTAAGCAGCTCTCCCCCGAGAAAAGCTGCCCCATGTCCATATTATAGGACAAAACGTGTCCCAAAATATGGACGTCTGCTGTGGTAGATGTAGGAATACGTGAACAAACCCTGTTTACACTCATGGAATGAAAACCAAAGTCTGTATTTTGGACCAGTTATATTCTCACAGATTTGGAGCAGTCGTCATATAATATCAGTTCTACTACTACTGAGGAAGTGTAAAAGTCACCTTTTTGATATCTGCTCGTCTGTCTCCTCTTTGGATCTTTGACTTTTTAAGGAAATTCTACAAAGACATCTTTGCCTGGAGTATTCACAGGACACAACGATTGGGAGAAAATGTATTTAGATTTTGTAAAATGTAAAAAATATTTATATTTATTTAAAATATATATATTTATTTAAAAAAATATCAAATCTCTTTCTCTCATGTCTCAGTCTGCTCCTTAGAATTCTGGTCGATGTCTTTGACTCCAGGTCACAACCTGCTCCTGTCTGTTTGGTCTAAGAACTGAAATCCACTTCCTTTTAATGTTCTTTCAGGAAAATAAAAAACCTCAGGTGGTTCTAGATCAGAACCAGTTGATGAGCTTCAATCATCTGAACAGGTTTCCATTCAAGTTTGGTCAAAAATGTGAGGTTTGCTCTGATTTGAAAATGCTTCATTAAAACTCTGACCAAGTCAAAGGTCACAAAGGTCACACAGCTCAACACTTGACAAAGATATGATGATGAAACTGGTCAGAGCTGTTGGAGACACAGAGACCAGTCTGAACTGGTTCTAGTCATTAACATCAGACACCTGCAGAAATGATAAACAACACATCTACGCTTCTACATTAAAGGACTGTTGTCTCAATTTTGAACTTCGACATACAAGCGTCTCGACGTACGAGTATTTCGAGATACGAGAGCCTTCGAGCTTCGGAGCACTCGGAGCAGCTCACGCTTCTTCACTCGTTCACTTCACTTGTTCATCTCCGGCGGGTCTTCCGTATTGTGTCTGCGTTATCCATGTAATTTTCTCTCTACTTTGTGCATTCTTCTTCATGACAGTGATGAGTCCTAAGAGAGTGAGTGGTAAGGATGGTAGAGAGAAGAAGAAACGCTTGATGACCATGGAAATAAAACGAGCGTGGTGCCGGCTAAAGAAAGAGTACAAATCGAAAAAAAAAGCAAGAAAAGTAAAGAAAAACATACGTACGTTAATTCTTACGTATGTTTCTGTAAGTTACGTAGTGTACGTGTAAGGTACGCTACAGAATCAAGTGTGTACGTACGGGCCAACTCTCTTCCCTCCTTCCTCCCTCCTCCTCCTCCTCCTCCACACATGCCGCCGTTAGCTGCTACTGTATCGTCAGTCTCGAAGGTAAGAACTCATAATTAAAACCACATTTTATTTTATATCACAGGAATCCTTATATGCTATATTTTTTGTGTGTTTAAAAACATGTTTTTTCCATTGTTATTTGACTGATAAGGGAGTTTTTAGAGTGCTGGAAAAGGATGAATTTTTTTCTGTTATTAATTACGGGGAAAAGTAATTCGAGATACGAGCTCGTTCTGGAGTGAATTATGCTCGTATCTCGAGGTTCCACTGTATTTCGGGATTTGTGTTTGGAAAAAGCCATTTAAACCCTGAGGAACCTCCTCATCTGCGCTAGGACTCTCAGATCCTAGACACCTGTAAGGTTTTAGTAAAGTTCTAGGCAGTTTGGTTTCAGACTGGGTGAAATTGATGCCTCATTTCTGCGAACACCTGCACTGCTGAAGAGCAGGACTGACTTCCCCACAAAGAAGGGAGGAAAAGTTAAAGAGAATTCCCTACAGGGGCCAGTTAAGTGATACATTATCCGGTTCTCCGAGCCTCCACTACAGTCTGCCGCTTGTCTGCCCCCACAGAAGCCGCTGCAACCACCGCTGCTGCTGCTGGGGCCGTAGGGGGAGTCGCAGGAGGGTCACCTATCACCGTCTTTTGCCAAAAGACCAAGGAGCACGATTTGGTTCAACGGCAACGGGTAGTGGACCTCTGGAAGGATGGCAAGTCGGAGGGTGCCATCGGGCAGGAGCTGAGGATGCCCAAGTCCACAGTGCACAGCATCATCGTCAAGTACCGGCTCAGCAACACGGTGGAGAACCTGCCGCGGAATGGCCGACCGAAAAAACCGTGACGTTACAGCAAGAGGAAGAGAAGGACATTTGAAAAAGACCCCTTATGACGAGTGGAATGTGAAAGTACAAACGGACACGTGAAGCTCACGGGGGGTGTCGGGGGGCTGGATAAATACAGCCAGCAGAAAAAGCAGAAAGGACAGGACCTGAAAAGTGAAAAGAAGAACTGGCAGTGTGATCCAGCAAATAAAACAAGCAATCAAGTGCAGAAGGAAGAAGAGAGAGAAGTCCAAAATACCAGGGAAGAGGTGAAAAGCTGGCCTGGAGATCAAGCACTAATGATGCGTGGGGGGAAAATAAGGCCGGGAGAGAGAAAAAAGGAGTGATGGCCTGTCTGGAACAAACAAATCCTCCAGCACTGGAGGAAAAAAAGGACCCAAAAAAATATGACTTCTTGACTGGACTGAAGACAGAGTGGAAAAAGGCAGCATGTAAATGCAATCAGGAGAACACCAGAATTCAGATATGGAGGTCTAAATGAAGGAATATTTCTAACCCCCCCATCCCTCGTCCCCTTTTCTCCATAGTGTGCCAAAAAAAAACACTTTTCCCCCAGGATCAATTCCTCATCCATCGGCTGACTGAACAAGCCTGCTCCCTCGCTTTGACCCTTCACTCCCTCATTCCTCCACACAGTTCCTCCTCCACTTCTCCTCACCCCCCGTCTCTCTCTCGTTCTCGTTCTCTTTCTCGGTCTCGGTCAGACTTACATACACTCCACTCTCTGGACCTCACACAACCTGAAAACCTCACTAAGACGTTAACAGTCTGCGGAGTACGAACAGATGAGATCCAGACTCTCCAAATCAAAAAAATGGGGACAATCTGGGAACAGGTTGTCTTTAAAAAGAAAAGAAAAAAGAAAAGAACAGAAGTCTTAAATCTAAAACACTGCTTGTAGGGACTCTCTTTCTTCCCGCTTAAATTCCTGAGTCACATCCATGTGTAGAAGTCAGAACCATAAATGTATACAAGTAAGGACCAAGGGCCAACAATCAGTAGCTGTGTTACAGCACCAACGTCTGATGAGCTGGAGATGAAGAAGAACTGAACTATGGGAAAAAATGTTATTCTTTTAAACTATGGCCCAACTGCAAGTGTGAACTGTTTTATTTGATATCAAATATAAGCTAACTTATTACAGAAGATTCAAGGTGATCTGTGTTGTAGAGAGTCTAAAGAGCTTGGAGTCCAGAAATGTTAGTGAAGGACTGAGGTCCTGTCTGGGTCTGAAGTGTGAACAAACACCAGAATCACTCAAGTCCAGCTCAGGACTGGACTGAGGTTCAAACCAATGAAAAGTCCAACTTCTGCTGAAGAACCTCCTCCAAGGCCAGGCTGGAGTCTGCTGAGAAGAAGCTGCAGGAGAGACACAGACTGAAGAAGATCATCTGGTCTGAGGAGACTGAACCACAAACTCTTTGGTTCGTCCAGATGTTGTCTAAGGTTGGAGAAAAAAAGGAGAGAAATATAGCCCGTAGAACACCGCCCTCACAATGAAGCAGGAGAACCAAACATGTTTCAAGAAGTAGAATAAGTTTAATCAGATCAAGTTGGTCAGATAAAATCCACATGGTAAAAAAAAGAACTCTGAAGCAATAGAGATTTTCCCTATGAATTAAAAAGGAAGGGAGGGCAACAGATCCCAAAAAAAAACACCAGCGCTCAGCAAAACTCTCAGATGGTTATATAATGACGTGAAGACATTTCTGTGCAGGAATGTGTGGAGGAATCTAGTGGAGTTTTGGTTGTTACAGTATTTTTACGGCACAACTACGACCCAGGCCACCTGCTGGTAGAGTGGGGTATGCTCTTCCCCATGTACTCTGGTTTGGCTTTGTGATGGGCTGGTGGACTGTCCAAGGTGTGACCCCAGCCCAGGATAAAGACTTCTGGGATACACTCTAGCTGCTCCTCAAGCAAATAAAAGTGCAAGACTTGAATATACTATACTTATACACTTGTGTGGAACTGTCTTCAGGAGACTGTGATCAGAAGATCCAAACCAGGAGACCATCAAACCTGCAGCAGGCTCAGATTTCCATCATAGCAGAAAGGACTGGGGAACTGGGGAGACTGTTGTGAAAGTTGTTGAAAAACTCAGCCATAACATCTAAAGTTGACTCTGTCCTGTGTCAACTTCCTAAATGAAGCCAGTTAGTTCAGAATTACCAGCTTCAACATTCCCTCCTCTGTATAAAAGCACTTGGGAAATGCTTGAATTTTCTTCAGAGGCCTAATAATTTTGTCCTCAACTCGGAGTACTGTATTACAAACCATATTTACTGTTGCACCTTTTTTAGAGGGGTCACTTGAAGGGGAAAATCACTCAAGTGAAGTATTTACATTTCCTGTTTTAAAGCTTCATCACTGGGAAGAAAAAGAAACAGTATTTATGAGCTGCTCTTCCTCGATGTCTTCGACGGCAATCTTTCACTGAAAGAAAAAGGGGAGACGTACTTTGAAGGCCGGACAGACTTTCTTCTTTTTTTTTTTCGGCTGTTGGAGCGTCTTTTATTGTGACAGTGTGATGGATTCCACGCTGGAAAATGTCCCCTGATCCCAGGGAAAATAAAACACTCTGGACTCTGTCATCGTTTTTCCAGTGTGTGTATGTGTGCGTGTGCGCCGCAGAGCTGTACATCAGAGTGACATCCCCAAGTGGGGAACAGCAGGACAAACTCTTTTAGCCTCTGTTTTTTTGGGGGGAAAGACGAGACGCAAAGAACGGGGGGGTTACACAGTCCAGACGTGAGCAGCAGCAACACTGTGTGTCTTAAAGTGAAACTGTTCTCTGTTTACCTCAAAGTGCACCATGGCCATTGGTGCAGCCTGTAAATAAAGTACAACCAAAGTGGAATAAAAACCTAAAGCACAGGTTTGACGACACCCTTGACATGTCGTATGTCGGACCAAAGCTCGAAGATGAGATTCTCTTTAGTTTTTTTACTGTCAAGTTGAAAGGCTGTGGTTAAACACAGAGTCCATCCAGGACTCATCCATCAAAGGATCAGTTTTCATAAGTGACAGCTGACTTTGTGCTGAGGTTGGCAGCAGATGAATCCACCAGCAATCTGTGAACATTAAACATGTCTGCAGCATCATGTAGAAAAAAATCTACAACTACAGCAAGAATACAGCAAGACAGACCAGTCATATATTTGTATATATTTGTACACGTACGTACATGTAGAAACAGACCAGAGAACTGTACTGGAAGGCGAGTTTAGTGGCTTAGTGAGTTATGTTACATTTAAAGCAGGGTTTTCCTGTACTACAAAGTTGTTTTGTATACAGTCGTCCCTCGCTATTTCGCGGTTCATCTTTCGCGGATTCACAACTTTGCCGGTCTTTGAAACTGTATATATAAAATATAGTGTATCCTGGATTTGGATCTGCAAGAGATGTCAAAGGAATGGGAGCACGATATGGTTCGATCGGTCCAATTTTGCAACAAAATCGACGACGTCATGACTGCCTACAAGCTTCTCTTCAACTGAAAAAAAAAAAAGCAGCGGAAACAACTGCCGATCATGTTTTTGCAGCCTCGCAAAAAAGAGCCAGTTCCTGGTACTACTGCGGATACACCTTCGGAAACAGTGGAAGAGGTGCCCCAAGAAATGGCACCTCCCTCTGAACAGACGTAAAATCAATTATCAGCTGCGCCGTAAAAGTCATCATCACCTTCCTCTTCATCATTTTACTGTGCATAAATATGGTGTCACTACTTTGTGGAAATTCAGTTTCATCCTTTGAACCTATCTACCGCGATAAACAAGGGGCCGCTCTAATTGTATTAATTGTATTAATCCGTTCCCTTTGTGAAATTAACGTGTGAAGCCACGCATTTGCACGGTCAGCAATTTTCTCTCACACCTCTCTTTCCTTGTTGGCTGCAACAACTTTGCTTTTGGCAGTGGTGGTCTTTTTATATTCCTCATAACTTTGAAATATGTTGCCCGTGGTTGCTCCATTTTGCATGAAAGCTGAATAATATGGCAACAAACGCCTCTTTTATGTGAACGCACACAGAGCACAGGCCTAAGAAACTGAACCGTTCAACTTTGTTTGAAACGCCTCTTTTATGTGAACGCACACAAAGCACAGGCCTAAGAAACTGAACCGTTTCGAGGCTGGAGGTTTTGTTAAACCAAACTGTGAACACAAAGCCTGAGTATGTTGAGCCTCCTTCGCGGTACAGGCCACAGGTGGGGTGACGTGAGGTCAAGGTGCACTAACTGTAAAGCCTCCTTCTCCAGATGACGTATTAGTACTTGACACAGCCTGAGGTCGACTCACACGCAGCTTCACAGCTTCTGGAATTTGAATGGTCTTTTATGGATTTCCAATCAGAAGTGACAGCCTTTTCCCTGACAGTTTTTTTCCATGTGGGCATCAAAGTTTATTTTTGCATTTCAAAATGAGAAAAAGTAAGTAAGGATTCTACCACTGACCCCGTTTTCCTCCCCTTATTAAATATCAGTCACAGCAGAGGTCCCTCATTCCCAGAGTGGTCTGAAGATTAGCTGAAAAACTTCACTGGTTTTGATTCAGCTCTGAAGAGGAATGGAAATAATCCACGTTTGTGTCACATTTGATTCTTCAGTAGACCATTCCTTTTTGTACCTGTTATTGGACGGGCAGAAAGAACTGGACGGTCATCTGATATATAATTGTTCTAGAAAAAGACACGACACATGTAGATGTGCTTCTCTAAAAACCTGCTGACGGATGAGCTCCAACTGAAACATGCTGTTTTCATAAATGGATGGAGAGACACTCGTCACTGCTGGACTCGTGAAACTCTCTCTCTCTCTCTCTCTCTCTCATTCTTGGATGCAGTCTGGACATTAAAAATCAAGCCTGACAGTGCTTTTGTAAGCTCCCGAAAACGCTGACAGTTCAGAGATGCAAGGTTGTCCCTGATGAATGGCTTTGGCCTGGAAAGGCTCACACTGAAACTCTTCAGAAAAAAAAGAAAAAAAAAACCTGGTTATTTTCCTGCCAAGATGGCAGCTTTGCTCCTCTATCAGATAGTAGGCAAGACCTACAGGGGAGAGAGGAGCGCACTCACATTCTGGACCTGGAAGGGCTTTTATTGCCTTTCTCCACACAGTCCAAGAGTTTCCATCCTGTTAAAGGAATAAAAGTTTGAAGGATCTCCCAGTGCTGTGTTCAGGTGTGTATTATTGGATTTCACTATAATTAAAAGGTGAATAAATCACCGCAGACCTCCTCAAAATGTGAAACAATCGACGTAGGTGTAAGAACAAGTGACGTGCTGCGGATGGAGCGAGGAGCAGGAGCCGTTTGGCTGAAGAAGGCTGATGTTTCACAGCAGAGTGAAATGTTCAGTGTTGGAACTGTTCAGGGAGAATCTGTTATCTGCTCAAACACAGCTTCAAGTGCTTCACCGAATTCCTTCTCCCTGTTTTATCTCCACGGCCTCTTTTACCTTATATGCCTTTTTGCTTGAGTCAGGCTGATACCGAGTGTTTTTCTGGGGCCAGGAGTCGAGCTGATCCACAAAATCCTTCAGCCTCTGCAGACTCCTGGAGAACGGCTGGAGACTGCAGGTTCACTTCAGTGCATCAGCTGTTTACTGTGACTGTTGATGGCTGCAACACATGGACCAAACCAGACAAAGGGACAAGGATGCCAAAAGACAAAAGAAGAGAAGAACTGGGACAGAACGGGACAAAGAGGGTCCACAAAAGGTCACAGAGGACGAATGTCCAAGTGGCACATACCCACACACAATGTCTGTGGATCAAAACATGTGTGGCACCAGAATTCCATTTTTAAAGTGACGGACAAAGCTTTGACAAAGTCTGGAATGATCCGCCGACGGTCGTCATCTACAGTCTTTGACATCAACCTTTGGCTGATGCTCTTGTACGGCCTCTAAATTCCTGAACCTGTTTCCTTTCAACCTGGAACATCCCAGGTTTTTCCAGTCCCACTTTGACTCTGGTCTAACTTTTCTGGCCTGCGTTGCACACAGGGTTTTATGTTCAACAAATGAAATTCAAGTGTCGCTAGAAAAACACAACGAATGGATTAATATTTTTAGTAGTCTTTAAACTTTTATGTGAGTTGATAGAAATGACCTATGATTCTAAAAATAACACCTTATTTTTCTCATTCTCTTTCACTGACTCTTAACCCTTCTCCATTGTAGCCCATTTTGTCAGCCTGACTAAAATACACACACACACGCGTTCGTACACACACAGACTGAACCTCTCTCTCTCGCTCTCTCTCTCTCTCTCTCTTGCCCTCCCCTCTGCTGGCCTCCGCTGGCAAAATGCCACAGGTTTTCCCATAAATGGTCCCCCTGCTGGTTACGGACCCACAAAGTTGTGCCCCTCCCCGCCCGCCTCCTAAACCTCTATCCCCCAAAGAAACCTCCATCCACTCCTTATCACTTCTTTCATCTGTACGGGGTGTTATGACACTTTATCTTCCCCCATGGTGCGACTGAGAGAAGTGTGCTGTTGGTCTATTCCTGGCTTTGTTTTGAAAGGAGCCTTAAACTCACCGTTCTGCCGCCCCAGCAGATTTACGAGGGCGCTCTAATGTGAGAAGCACACACACACACACACACATATCCTGCAGCCGGGTTCATGCAAATGTGTGTGTGTGTGTGTGTGTCTGGTACCTGCAGACTTTTGGCAGACAGTCTCCTTACAGTTAAGGTAACATTGTACGTGGATGATGGTATCATTTACTGTACAGCAGTTTGAGGAGTTTCATAAAATAATAAATGTGAGAATTAAACTGAAGCTTGATTGGAGGCCAATGTTATTATCACATCAACAGGGACCAATGAATGCAAATGACACAAGTCCCTGGAATCAGCTGGAATCAAAATAAAACCGGGCAAAATGCAAAATAGGAACTTTTTTTGTTTAAAAAAACCAATAATCAGCATGATGGTGCAAAAAGGACAGTAACCACTGTAAGCATGTGACACAAAGGAGGTGAGGTAGATCATAGAGACAGAGTAGCAACAAGACATAATGAATGAGACAAACAGATGAGCAGAGGTTAAGAATGGACCGAACAGCAACAAAGACCTCAGTAACGGAAAAAAACAGTTAGTGTCAGAAAAGAGTGACAAAATGTTGACCAACCAGAAGAAGGCGTTAGCACCCAGAACTTAGCATGTGTTTGTTCTGTGGCCGTCAGAACCATCAGAACCTCAGGCTGGTCTCCCACCTTTGACTTGACTGCGGTCATGGTGACACTGGTAGCTTCGGTCCAGAGGGTGGAGCTGCTGCTCCTCACTGACCTGTGTGTGTGTGTGTGTGTGTTCTGATAGTGTGGTGGTGTCACTGACCTGTGGTCTAAGTCTCTGTCTCTGAGTCTCTGTGTCTGTGTCTGTGTTCCAGTGCTCAACGGTCCTCCCATGTCAGTGAAGAAGGAGCGCGAGGCCGAGCTCCTCCTCAACCGACGGGAGCAACGCAGCGGAGAGGTCATCTGTATCGACGACTAGACTCACACACACACACACACACACACACACACTCACAGCTGTAAAAGCTCTTCTTCAGACCTGTCCTGACTGACTGACTGACTGATCTGTGACACACACTCACACACAGTCCTCTCTGAAACTCACAAACACTCATGCACATGTGCACTTACTGTTCCAGTACACACTCACACACTCTCACACACACACACACACACCTACAGCTCCTCTGTCCACATTCTGTCTCTCAACTTCTTGTCAACCTTTTTTGTGTCTGCCTCAAACCACGATACTCCTCAGAAAAGACCTCCTCACACTGGTCTCCTCCTCAACCTTCACCTCCTTCTAGACACACAGGCTTATGTAGCCATTCTAACCACATCTGTTGACCTCTGGCTGACCTGTAGTTTGGGTTCTAGATGGACCTGCATCAGAACACCTCTGGTTCTCCTGCTCTGTCTTCAGAGTCTTCAGTGTGAGGTTGGGTTTTTTCAGGACCAGGATTTAAGAACCCTTAAGAACCCAGACCTAAACAAATCTGCTTTGACTGAACAGCAGTGTTGATGGTTAATGAACTTTAATCAACACCAACTCTGACTGTAGTCAAAACTGCTCTGGTTCCATCATATAGTACCAGTACACACTAGTACACGTGTACCTGTCAGAGCAGAACTTCATCAGCTGAAAACATTAGATTCCCACTTCATCAGGACCAGAACTAGGACCAGTACCAGTCCACCAGAACCTTTGACCCAACTGTGGTCATAACAAGTTACAACAACATGTTAGTTCTAATCCCAACGTCAACACACACGTCTCCATCCTGTTCTTACCAAAACCAGGCCAGTCTTTTCTTAGACCATCCTACCACAAACATCTCCATCCTGAGTTTGGACTTTTTAAAATGTCAAATAGACAGAAAAGGCACTCAATTAGTAAGAAAAACAAGTACACACACACACACACACACATTTCACATTTCTCAATAGATCATGTTACCCTCCTCCCCCTTCCTCCTCCTCTGCCACCCTCGTACTCCCTCCTCCTTCTTCTCCATCCTCCTGTATCCTCCTCTTTCTTCATCCTCCTCCTCTGCCTCCCCTCATCCTCCCCTTTTCTTCCCCCTCCTCCTCTTTCCTCCTTCTCCCGTCCTCCCTCACCTTTCCTCCTCCTTGATCTCTGGACAGGAAGTTGCGTTGCATGAACACTCTTCACTCCTCACATCACAATAACACTGTCTAATGGAGAAGGAGGAGAAGGAGGAGAGAAAAAAACCTTCTGGTTTCTGGTGATAAAACTCTGGTTGGTGGGACTGATCTTTGCTCTGGCTACAGGTCCAAACACAGAGACTATGGACTAATTGGACCAAGTCCTCTGGTTCCAAAACTGTCTTAGAAGTTCTCCAATGGATTTAGAAGCAGCGGTAAACATCTTTGTGAAGTCAAGGGTCTCAATCGCTGGTTTGAGGTCACCTTGGAGGAGGATATTGACATGGATTTGGACCACCGCTCCAATACCAACAGTATTTATGATCTCTGTTGTTCAAGGTTCTCTTATAGGTCCTACAAAGTCCTGACAGAACAGCAGCCGGTGTTAACCCTCCAGTAGAAGGTTGGTGTCAAACCTCTGATCAGGAGCAGTGAGGTGGAGCAGTGGTTGGTGTTCTTGCCTTACAGCAGAACAATCACTGCTTAAATCTCTGGTGTTAAATTTCTAAGAACGCACGTGGAGTTTCTCCATCGTCCTCCCACGGTCTGTAGGTGTGAATGTCAGTGTGAATGGTTGTGAGTTTCTGTGATGTCCAGGGCTGACCCCTCCCTCACTGACCCCTCACTGACCCCTCCCTCACTGACCCCTCCCTCACTGACCCCTCCCTCTCTCATGTCACGTCTCCAGTAACTTCTGGTACCAGTGGAGTACTTTTGATTTTCTCTCGATGTTTGGAACCAGGGGACGTGGTCCGTTCCGTCTCTCGGAGTTCAGAGACGTCACGTCACAACGTCAGTATTTGCCGACGTTCTTTTCCACTTTGGTGGTACTTCCTCTGTACACAGCTTTGAGGATTTCCTGATGAGTGAATGTTGGTGTTGTCAGTGTTGTTGTTGAGAACGTTAGCCATGAATGGACCTCAGCTCGTATGTTCCTTTACCTACAGTATCTCCTCTGGTTCTTGAAGGGAGTACCAGGGTCACAGACGGGGAATAAAGCACGAGATGAAAGGAGAATAACTTTGAACACTTTATTCTCCTTTCACCTTTAATTCACCACTCTTTTCTCACACTACGTTATGATTACGACTTTGGTCTTTCCTGTCGTTAACTAACGACTTCACTGACTTTTGACTTTTCCTCTGTATTACTGTAAATGGACAACTTTTCTCATAACATAACAACCTAGTATTACTTATTTCTACCTTAACGTGGCCCTGGTACTCCGTGGTACTTCCTCTGAAGACATTTTTGATTTCTGATATTTAAACAGCACATCCTGGTTCTCTTGTGTTGATACTCCTCTGTATGGTCCTTCCTGTCCTGCTCCTCCTCCTCCTCCTCTTCCTCCTCCTCCTCCTCCTTGTTACCATATTCTCTGTTCCAGAAAGAGCTTCTACCAACACATTGGTTTTATTGTTTTTCTTTCTTTGTAACGAACCATGAAGAGGAGTTGCTCCTCTTTTGCGATGCGTATTCTCTGCTCACATTTGTCCTACGATTTCAAGGAAAACGCAAACGAAGAAGTGTCAAAAACTTCAGAGTTAGATACGTACGTTATATAACAAGAAAACATGTTTTTTCCTGTCTTACATTTTAGAGTTTGGGCTTGCCAACGCCATACAGTATTCATATAAATATACATATAAATATATATATATATATAAATATATATATATAGGTAGGTAGGTACCATAGGCCATATGTAACCTTTAATGCTTCTGTGAGCAGAAACAATGTATTTAATCAGTTTTAGGTCCAAATCCGAGGCTGGACGTTCATTTCTATCCATGGTCTCATTAGAGAAATGGCCTTAATAATAACCATCCTGCTCCGAAGCTGCTCTCAGTTCAGAAATGTCCTGTTGTTTCTCCAGGAAAAAGCCAAGAGTCCCTGTTTCTCAACATTGTTTTTTACAATCCCTCAACTAAAATGTTACGTCAACATCGAGCACTTAGTCCTTTTTTATTGCCACTTTTGCTTTGACCTTTGACCTTTGTCTTTCCAGATTGTTTTTTTTTTCTTAACAATTCGTGTAATTGTGTTCATGTGGTGATGCCGATCAAATTATGAGCGGCATCAAAACAGTGTCCATGATGATGATGATGATGATGACGATGATGATGATGGATCCTCTTTATTTGTTTGGTTTTTTTTTTTTCTTTTATTGTTTTTGTTTTTAATAAAAACTCAATGATATCAACGCGTCATCATTTATCAGACTGGGAAGCTAAAAGTTAGCCCAGAAAATACACCATATTACATCAAGAGCGATACAGAAATCATTTACTAATTATTTCAAATTGTATTCAAAAGATGAGGTGCCAGTAAACTTGAACCAACATTTGGATTATTTTGATCTCCAGTGCTACATTTCACACCTTTTCTTTTAGCTTTGGCTAATGTTTTTAAACAGTTCTCAGTGCTGTTGTTATTCTGATTGTTATCTCTGATCCACTGTGTGTCAACAGTGTGTCTTGTTTGAGGCCAAATCTTCAGCTCTGTTGCTTCATTACTACTTCGCTGCAGTTATTTCTGGCCTAACTTCTTATCTTTTGCCGTTTCAGTCTATTTTTGTCTCTGTTTTTGTCTGTCCGTTGTCCGTTGTGATAACTCACTATAAATTTTCTGCTCACACTTACATAAGCTTTTGTTATAAAGTCCAACTTTCCAAAGACAACAGAAAGGTTTATTCAACATTTATGATGAGTGAGTTGAGAAGAAATAATAAAAATAAATGTGCAGAACAGGCACACATCATCATTTAAAGCCAAAAAAAACTTGAGAGTCGAGGAGATTTTCCGAGGTGGTAATAAACTTTGTCATCGAGGCTTTGAAAGAAAAAAAAAAAGGACTCAAGTGTGTGGGGGAGAGACGGTGAGGAGGAGAAGTAAGGAGAGAAGGAGGAGAGAGGAGGCATGTTTTTCCTCAAAGACTTTGAGCAATGTGGTTCAGGTTCAGATTCAGGAAGTGAAAATTTAGATGTCTGCTGCTATGTGTGTGTGTGTGTGTGTGTGTGAGAGAGAGAGAGAGAGGGTGCTGACAGGGAAATATGAGGTGCATGTGGACGTGGAGGTGGCGGGGGAGTCACAAAGGGGAAGAGGAAAAGGAGGAAATGGAGCAGGATATGTGAATGTCTGCACACTTTTTAAAAACATGACAGTTTGGCAGCGGAGATTAAAAAAATAGTGAGTGCCATCTGTGCAGTCAGGAGCTGGGAGCAAAAAAAAAAACCAACAAAGCCTCAGAAACTACTTATAAACACAGCAGTGGGAGTTTGAACCCACGGCTGCAAAAAATACACACTGTTTGTGTATTGTTGCAGAGGAATATGACGGAAAGCAGCTGCAGCAGAAAGAAGACGGAGGAAAGGTTTCTGTGGCCCTGAAACGATTTCTGATATTTTTGTCTGTTAACTTTAACTGTTATTCAAGTTCTCTGACTTTTTTAGCTTCTCTGGGCTAATGCTAGGCCCATTTATCCCATTTTTATTATTGTATATGGGCTAACCTTTATCCTCCTGTTCTCTGATTTTGGATTCTTTTTTATTATACTGCCCTTATATTGCTATATTTTGGGCTAACTTTTAGCCTTATTATGGCTAAATCTGGTCTTTTTATTGCTTAGCTTTTGGTCTGTGTGTAGGTCAACTTTAAGCTAGTTTTGATGACATTTTATGTTCACTTCACTCTAAATGTGCTAATTCTTAATTATATTTTGGCTGGGTTTTTTTGGTTGGATTTAGCTTCCTAATGGCTAACTGCTAATCATATAAGGGTTCATTTTACTTATGTCTTGGATGATTGTTCTTACTGTAATATGTTATTAGCTAACCTGTGGTTGTCTCTCTGAGCTAACCTTAGATTACCTAGGCTAACTTTTAGCTCTCTTGTGTTGATTTTTTATGCTGATTATTGTTGAATCCAGCAGATACAAAAACAAAGGCCTTTTCTTAGACTCAGTATTCTATTATTATTCAGACCAGTGAACCAACCAAGTTTGTGCCACAAACCGATTCATGTGCGCGACTCGTTTTTTTCTCTGCCTGTTTCCTGTCGTCATGACAACGGTGGTGTTGAACACTGGTGGTGTTTAAGACATGAAAGACAGGGTCAAGTAGACAAAGGTATATTTCAAAGCTGTACACATGTGTTACTTTGTACAGACTTTAAAGCCAAGTTAACATACAGTATGTATTAAAAATATACACATACATTTGAAAAGATTCACATCCGCGCCGCTCTCTGCTAGCATCTTACCGCACACATACTCTTGTACAAAATATGTGTAAAAGTACTATATACAAAGTATTTAAAAAACTCCAAACAACGTGGTGAAATGATAAAGGTATCAAAGAAGTTGTATTTACACCAAGGTTTGATTCTACAAACACACACACACACACACACATTGTCAGGACACAGGTGGATTGAAGCCGATGCTGTCAGGATCATAGACCAGAAACAAGACATGGACGCAGCACTTTGGACCTGGGAAAAAAAATAATAACTGTTTTTTGGAAGTAACTCTGCAGTAAAGGAACGACAAAAATGAGTACAAATAAGAAAATATGTTCCGGTTCTGATTACAGAAAAGGCTGGCTTGTGTAGGAAAAGAGAGTTCCAAGGCAACTAATAATCACAGCTAATGGTCTGATTGACAAGAACGGTACCACAGTTACTGTGTAGGACTGTAGTTGTGTTGCTGGTGTACTAGCATTTAGCATTTTAGCACTGTGCCTTTGTCAAGTGGGTAACCTGTTGTGCAGAGATTTTGGGTTTGAGTCCAGCCAGTTTCTTGCACATTTTGATGTAAAGACCACTAGGTGGCCCACTGCTGTGGTGACCCCTGCTGAAAGGTCAAGGTCAAAGATGTTCTTCTTCTTCTTTAACTGACGATTGTTCTATTCTTTGTACCAGAAACTAATTCTGTTGAGTGTTTTTCTAATCCCTTTAATCTCTGCTGTCACTTCATATGTCCAACTTCCTGCCTTTTTTTACCATCTGTTTTCCACTTAATGCGACTCTGAGCTCCTCGTCCATGTTGACCAACACTTTAGATCATCTCACAACCTTGGGTTCTTGTGGACTCCAGTCTCACAGAGTTACTTCCAAACTTTGGATGGAGAACTATTTTGTCCTTCTTTTAAACTATGTTCACCCTGCAGGTGATACTGGACCAAAAACATGTCTGATCGTCCGATGACGGTCCAGATCTGGGTCCATTTCAGATCAGATCCCTGTCTGACCAGTCTTGGAGCTCAGGAAACATCATGTAACATCCTTTTAATCAGAAGATACTGGAAGGAGACTAACGAATGACGTCCATTTTGGATATTTCTGGTGTCAGACATTCACTGAGGCCTTTTGTCCACCGGAGGCTCCGGATTAAAATCCGAGTTAAGTTTTTGTCTTTCATTCCAAATCAGCGATCCATCCAGAAGAGAGAAAAAAAGTGTCTTCCACAAACATCAGGTCTGTCTTGTGAATTCAGGAAGTGGTCATAGCAGGACAGGATGCCGTGGAACAGAAATCTCATCCACACAATGTCAAAAAGTTCTGTTTCTACTGAGACCAGTTCCCGGCCCGAGCTCAGTTGACTTTGAAGATACTGAAGACGTGAGGCGAGGCCGAAGGACCTCCCACCCTGTGGAGACTGAAGGACGGGCCTGTGACGGCCTGGAGCTCCGTGCCTCTGTCCAGCCGCAGGAGACCGGACACCTGGCAGGACTTGACGAAGTGGAAGTGGTGCGGTCCAGCAGAGGGCGTGGTGGCATAGCCCTCTATGCACTGCAGCTTCTGAGGCCGCTGACCTGAGGTCACCACGTCCAGCTTCACATACGGAGTCTGCTGCTCATTGAACAACACCTGCCAGACGGACAGAGACTTGCATTATTTTTACAGAAGCTTAGCTAGCTTTGAGCTAACCTCTAGCTCCAAACCAAACCAACCCTCCCGCTTATTTTCTCCCCTAAATGTTAAAATTGTTCTTCATCTCTCCATACTCAACTGTTTAACGCCCTCTAGGGACGTGACCCCAAACTCTGAGAACCAACACTTTTTTATAAAATCTCACCAAAATATTCACTTTTCTGGATGGCTTCCATCAGTTTAAAAAAGCCACCACATCTCATAACTTTTTTCTTGTTTGCCTTGATATCTTTGCACCATTTAGCTCCAAGTGGAGGAAAACTGGAACGACGCAGACGGGGTAATCACTGTGACTCAGGTCAGCAGACCCTCCTACCCCCACCCCCCCTTATTAGCATGTTGTTTTGCTGTTAGCGAGCAGGTGATGATACCAAAACTAAAAGCAGTTTAGTTTAGTTCAACAGAACTCAAACTTCCCAAGTTTGGGTTGGTTCCAAACTATTAATGCCTCTGTGCCTGCACGGACCTGAACCAGAGAAAGATTTGAACTTTCTACTACTTTGGTGTTTAACTCTCGTCCAGGGGTGAAAAGTACACAGGGTTAAAACGACCCTTTGGTATTAGTCTCAGTAGACAGTACTTTTATAGACCCGCTCCTCACCCTCCTCACCCTCCTCACCCTCCTCACCCTCCTCACCCTCCCCCCCCACCCACACACACACACACATTTATTTCTCTAGATTTAGCTCAGTCTGTGCTTTTATCATCACTTCTCCTCAGGGAAAATACAAAACAAATTCACCAGCAAAACATTTTTCCCAGGTTTAAGTGTTTTTCTTTGTGCCATTGAAAGTTCGTGGTACTTTCTTAAAGACCCCAGTGCAAACCTCATGGTAAATGTAGAGACTGAACTGAAATCTTTGGCCTAACTTTCCCAATTGTTTTCCCACAGACCCAGAAGTCCAGGCCTGACTCTCCGTTATTCAGTCCTTGTTAGGATTAGCAGGAACCGATCATTTATTAGCAGGAACCTGTTGGATTGATCTGCAGGAAAGTTCCGTCAGAACAGTTTGGTTTGTTAGACTTGGAGTGAAGTTGGTCTGGTAAGAACAGCACTCCTAAGAGTTTGGATTAGATTCCTGCTAACTGGAGCCTGTTGATTAATGAGTTAATGAGTTAGTTAGTTCACTCATTGATGTTTAGACGAGTCTCTGTCTGTACCTGTTGTTGAAGGTTTTGTATTAATGATGACAAGGATAATTAATAGAGAATTAATATTATTAAAGGATAATAATTTTGTTTATTTTCATAGTGAACAGAACCTGTGAGGCACCATTTGTTTTTAACAAGTGGATTAAATTAGATTAGATTAAATTAGATTGTCTTTGTTTGTATTGGATCAGATTATTAATTAGATTAGATTAAATTAGATTAGATTAAATTAGATTAGATTAAATTAGATTAGATTAAATTAGATTAGATTAAATTAGATTGTCTTTGTTTGTATTGGATCAGATTAGATTAGATTAGATTAGATTAGATTAGATTAGATTAGATTAGATTAGATTAGATTAGATTAGATTAGATTAGATTAGATTAGATTAGATTAGATTAGATTAGATTAGATTAGATTAGATTAGATTAGATTAGATTAGATTAGATTAGATTACATTAGATCAGATTAGATCAGATTAGATTAGCTCAGATTGTATCAGATTGTCTTTGTTAGTACTGGATCAGATTCAACTGGATTAAATCTTGAGGCACAGTCTGATCTTGTAAGCGTGTGGAGACAAACTCACCTGGCAGAACAGGAAGTAAACGCCTGCCTTCTCCACGGTGAAGGTTCCCAGCTCCTTGTTGTACTTCACCGCCTTGGTCATATTCAACGTCCGCTCCTCCCAACCCTTAATCACGCCGCCTTCTCCCACTGTAACACACACACACACACACATTCAGGGTCATGCATGTCCACGGATGGTCCTCCATCCACATCTTTGACTTCTCGTCAGTCCTACCGTTCTGAGAGGAGTCCTTGGTGACTGTTGAGCGGCAGAGACCAGACCATGAAAGAGGAAGAAAAGTCAATTAAGATTTTAACGACCGTAGGTTTGAAACCATTTCAGCAGATGCTACAGTGACGGCCACAAAGATCTGCCAAGTCACTTACTCTCGAAATGAGACGCTGCCTTCTTCCCGTTTCCATTTTTCCCCCGAAACGTCCCCCCTTCCAAAGGCAAAGAGAGAGGAAATATGAGTTTGAAGGGCAAAGAAAATAAGCGGTGTGGTTGTTTGACAGAACAATCATTCCCATCTGTATCTGTCTAATAACACAGGGTGTTCATTTGTGGCCATTTAACCTGGCCCGCTCTAACGCAGCTACCAGATGGACCAGGATTCCCTTTCACTTTATTCACTCAGACTAAAGCAGCAGCAGCAGCAGCAGCAGCAGCAGCAGTGAATGCCTCTCTTCTTTTATTATTATTATCATGATGATGATGATGATGATTTTTTTTTTGATGATTCCCGCTCTAATCTGAGTGCCAGCTGCTGGAAATCATCTCTCAGGTCCAGAGCAGAGATGTTGCTGCTGGAGGAGCAGAGGGACAGGGGGAGAGTGGGGTCAACGCGGTGAAGACATGACCTCTGACTCCTCAGGTTCAGAATAGTTTTGGTACCAGTTTCTTCTTCATTGGAGAATCAATCGTCGGAACAGATTCTGTGTTTAATCACAACCTTTATTTGGGATCTTTAACTGTGTAATTTGGCATCGTTCAAACTTTGTTTCAAAGCAGGTGTGGTTGAATTGACTTTGATAAAGTTCACATTGGTACAGACAACATCAGGTCATGTTGAATTATACCAGTAATGATATTTTGAGGATTGATATTTAAAGCTAAGATTTTAGTTTTTCCATGTTTTGGCTGCCTTTGGAACAACTAAAGATGACTGTCAGTGGACACTCATGACCACATGACCTTGGTCATCGTGATCACACTTACTGACCTTGAACTAGAGCTTTCTTTTAAGTGTCAGAGGAAGTCTTTTTTATGCATTATTGAATGTGGACTCACTTCCAAAGTCTGGAAACGGCTGCTTTACTGATAGCCATGAATTTCCAGACACTGTTTAATGTCTGCTGGAGGAGAAGATCACATATCAGTTACTGCAGTAGGTTCTGAAGATTGATTCAGTTACTTTAGCGTGACAGTCTGTCCGCTCAATGGAGCCGCTCCCCAGTTTTAGTCCCCTGTTTGAAATCGACCACAGCGGGGCCCTGGAGGGTTCACTCTTGGCCAAAAAATGAGAACAATCAAGCAATCCCGTGATGGTGACACAAGCTGAGCTATAAATACAGCAATGATAGGTCATCAAATATCGCTGCTTTCACAACAAATCACTGCCGCGTCAGTCGTGCGCTCAGGGGAGGGAGGACAGGGAGAGGGTAAAAAAAAAAAAATCAATTTCATTGCCCAAAAGCGTGCAACAAGGCCTCGCTCTCCCGCCAGCTGGTTTTCTGGGCTTGGAGGCCGTTCTGGTCAGACCTGTAATTTCTGGAACACTCATCCAGCTGCCTACTTTTTCCTGTGTCAACTTTTAGCAGCGGGCAGTGCCTGCGGCCCACTGGGCCTGACCATAGTGGCATGTGGGGGCCAGCGTTTGTGTCAAATGTTCTTCCCAGAAAAACAACAGAGTGCAGTGAGTAAGTATATTGTGTCTGTAGTGATTTGGACGGCTGAAGTTACCGTCTCTCTTCACTCTGTGTCCCACCAGCAGCTCTCTCTTCTCCAGAATGAGCTGGACGATGGCCTTCCTCTGAGTGTTGACCTGTGTACACAGACGGAGAAGAACATGTTGTTAAAAATACTTTCCAGCCCAACCTGAAGTCTGATTCCGACTGGAGCCCACTCCCAGGTCGTAGGAGCGGGGGAGTAGGGTGTAGCTTTATAGCACGCTAGTTCCACCAGCTTTGTGACCCGCCTTTAACACGAGTACTGATGGTAGCAATATAATCTGGCAAACGTGCTCGCTAACAGCAAAGGGACATAAAACCACCGTCTTCTTCTAATGGTGGGCCAAATTACAAATATAGCTCCCTCTGCTGGATGGCATAGATCCATGACGTATTATATTGAAGACAATCTTGTGACTTGCTTTGCTAGCAGTTTCAGCCAGTTTAACAGTCTCACCCGTGATGCTAACTTCTGGTTCTCACATGTGAGTTTCCTCCTGTGGACAGTGAGCGGACCCCGTCCCTCTCCCCACCGTCTTTGTGTTTCGATGACATCTATCATCACTGCCACCTCCTCGGTCTTCTTTAATGGTATCTACTTGAACACGAACCTGCCTCACTGAGTGCATTACCCTCAGCCCTGTGTGCTTCTGGTTTTTTTGTTTTTTTTTACATCAGGCATCTCTTGAGTACTCTACCTTTTTAAAAAGAGAAGTCCAACAGGTTTGTTATGACTTTTTTCTGGCTGCCGTCCCGTGCGGCCTCTTGCAGCCAGTCATCCAGCCACATAAACAGGCTCATCTTTTCCAGGATCCTGCCTGGGCCGTAGCTGCAGAATTAACTCTACCACCACTTCCTCAGAGACTCATAGTTGCGACACCTGATGTTTTTAGTGCCTCACATTCCTCACATGTCCTCACTTCCCAGCCTCGTTTTCATTAAGAAATGACTTTGAGTCAAAACCAGCCAAATTCTTGGCTGGCTGCCTCTCTCTCTCTCTCTGTCTCTGTCTCTCTACCATATGACCGAGGGGAGGCCGGTTATATAGAGTAAGAGGAGAAGTGGCTGAAGGAAAGTGTGTTTTAAATTTACTGCTACTGTGGAAATGTCTGCAGCGAGAGTTTTGCTCGCAGCTCTCCAGACAGTTTCACTCACTGGCTCTCATCAGGAGCTGGAGAACGGTCAAATGGACAGAACGGGGCCCCCTGGGAAAGACTCCAGCAACAACACTCCACGTGTCCAGTTTTTGGGGTGTTTGTATATGAGAAGCTCTCTCTAGTCTGGGTTGGTGTGTGTGTGTGTGTGTGTGTGTGTGTGTGTCAACATGACACACAGCCAGTCTGCTGTCCCTGATCCTGATCTCAGACCCGGTGCAACCTGGTTTTGTCAGCATGAAAACCACAATAATTTCCATCAGCTCTTTTCAACTTAAATGTACATTTTTTTGTCCTGGAGTGAGATAACATTCACTGCAAGTGCAGGAAGTTTCAAATCTTCTCTTTGCACAAGAGACAAGACTGCACACGACTTTGGCCTGATGTCGGCAAAAATCTGAGTGCGACTGGGGCTTGACAGAGGCGTTGCAACAGCGTAGGCAATGGCCTGGGGGCCTCAACTGAGGCAGTGGCCCCCAAAATGTCTGATAACCGCAGAATGCCACTTTCTCACTGCCAAAAACAGCAAAGATGAATGAAGCGTGAGTCACAGTTAAAGAAGTCATAAAAAGTCTGAGTCCAGGCATGAGCTGAGAATAAACCTCCGTGTTCTGGCTAACACTCCGTTATGCTAAGTAAATGTGCGTGTGATTTTAGTGCTGGCTGGGGTGGTGGCCTGTTAGCTGTTGGCAAGCAAGCTGTGAACTGGACTGAACAACGCAAGTCGAATGAATTTCATGGCGATTTAGCAGAGCTGCTAGCTCAAGCTAGCTCGGCTACTATGACGTTTTGTTGTTAGGAAGCAGTGGATTTCTACAGAACCTGACGTGTGCTACTCCTACCTGAGTGAAGCTTTTAATGCCTCTGTGTCTGCACCAACTTTCTGTCTGTACGTCCCACAGGACGCTGGGCGATTAAAGACTTTGTTCTATTTCAAAACAACTAATATCCATTTGTGCAGATTGGACTAGCTGCACTGCTACGGAGGTGTGCAGTCACGCAGGCACAGAGGCATCGATAGTTGCACGAACTGCTCTAAAAACAACAAAACACTTCTTCTTCTTCTCTTTCTCTGTCTGCTTTGCTGATATCAACAGTTTTCTTATAGGCCAAGAGAGCATCTAAGGTCCAATTATACAGAGAGCGCCCCCCTGAGGCTACATCAGGATGTCTGCGAGCAAGCTGGTGAACCTTGACTGTTACTTTTGAAACACATCAGACAAAATGTTACATTCCGCTTCATTTGCGGTGGCATAGAATGTAGCCGTGAGGCTAACAGGAAGTCCTGTTATGATTTGATTGACAGCCAGCAAAACTAAAGTCCTGAGCATGTGGACAGACCACTGGGGGCACAGTTAAGCCCTGGGCCTGATTGTAGACTACCACAGTTGTCACACTGGACTAAGACATGTCACTTCTGATTTGTAGTAATGCAGCATCATGACCATCAGTCCACGGGCCTCCTGGAGCCGACGGAATCCCCCGAGACGCCTTTGGTTACAGAGGATTTTACACTTTATCATCCTCCCTCAGGCCTGCAGCCTCGCTGCAGCCAGTGAGGTAGTGAGGCTCACGATTAGCCAAGTAGCTGAGACTTTCCAGTAACCTGAGATAAAAGTGGAGCAACACTGGCACCAGGGTAATAAAACTCAAGGGGTTTGAAAGAGGGGGGCAAACGCAAAACAAAGAACAAAATTACACTGATTATCAGCTCCCCTGGTGAAGGGAATTCTGTTCAAACTTATTTTTTTTCTTTTGTTTTTCACAGGCATTCTTTTTTTACGTGAGGTTTCTAAAAGTACTGGCTTTGTTCAGGAAACTTAAAACATTTTGCTCTGAAGACAGAAACAAACTGATTGAATTGAACTGAAAATAGCATAAATTCCATGTTGTACTATTACAGTAATGTTATTATTATTGTACACTCAGCTCCTCGTTGAACCTCTCCCTCCAGTCAACTCACTCCTTGTTGGGTCTCAGTAAGTCTCCGCTCTGGTCTGTCCAGCAGATCCTCGTCTCCTCCACACGTCTCTTACTAGTTTTCAATGGTATGGATTTTTTTTTTTAACTTGATGATCAGATTTTTTACTGGATAACTTTTAACCCTTTTAAGATCAGATAGTATTCTTCTAACATCTTTAAAACCTCACTTTAGACCTGTAGAAGATCACAGAGTTGTACAGTAGTAGAAGAGAGTTGTTAAGACACATGCAGGTGCCAGGAAGGAGAAGAAGAGCCCAGAGACACTGGTGAACACAGGTGGGACTGAAGACCAAGACTGGACTGGATCAGACCAAGAGGTCCAACTTAAAGATGACCCATGAGTGTGGAAGAAGAAGGGAGAGGCATACAGCCCAAAGACCCCCGTCCTCACAATACAACGTGTCAGCAATCAACAGAATAACTGTCTTTGGACGGAGTGTCCCCATGAGACAACAGTCAGTGTTACAGAGGACAGGAGTCCAACCAGAAGATTCTTCAGGCCAGTGAACATATATGGGGATGAATAAGTGCTGACCTGTATTTTTCACTCTGCCCTGCGTGTTGTTTTTTTTTTTTGCAAACATATATGTATATATATATACAATATACATACATATATGTGTAGATAAATATAGATATAAATGATCTTAGAAACACTTATACACGTACAGTATACGTTTGCACAATCTTTTGGTCCAAACTAAAACACAGTAATCCATGGTCTGGATTACTGTGTTTTCA